TCTCTCTCTCTCTCTCTCTCTCTCTCTCTCTCTCTCTCTCTCTCTCTATTTTCTTTCTGAAATCATTTCTATTTTCGTTAAATGTTCACTATACGGCTCGATTCGATCGATGCTGTCATCGTCGTTGTCATTGTGATCGAGCTGCAAACATGCTTAGCAATTATTACTGTTGCCTAAGCCTAATGATATGAGTTTTGTGTGTTTTTCTTTGGGTAAACCATGCTTATGCTTATCGTTGACATGCAATCTAATTATTTCTTTTCACACCAAAAGTGTCTGTTATCGAAGAATCGAGACTAACCAATAACCAACCGACCCAGAGATAGACAGCATGACTGAAGCGAGAGGTGAAATGGATACAGACGTATTAACGAAATGCTCAATTCCGACAAGCATTCACAAATCCGAAATGAACGTTGACAGGGCCCAGGGTTTTTGATAACTATCGATTGATTATTTGCAATGGCATGCTGCCCATTTTCACCCTCTTGGCGCAGCTTAATCACCAAAGATGATACGAAAATACAAATATTGGAATGGTACACAATAGAGAGAATGAGGGCTTGGTGAACGTATACACAACCCATGCACATACGCACACAATCACTCTGCGTGCGCTAAAGGAGAACACATCAAACTATTGTGATGTTGAGTAAATAGTGCGAACAATAATGAAATTAAAAACGAGGAAAATCTCTCACTATCTCCATTTCTCGTTTGTCCTTAAATTGAAGGCTGCTTCTATGTGCTCTCCCTCTCTCCATCTCTGTCTGTCTCTCTTGCCCTTTATGTCTCTTCGATGAATTAAATACGTGTGTTTGTGCAAGCGATTTCATTCAAATTGCGTTCAGTCGTTTGAATCCAATCAAATTCAATTAAATATCGAACTGAAATTGAATGAAATGGTATTAAATGCAACAACATCAGCGGCAAAGTTTGTTGTCAGTGCATGTGAAAGTGAGCACTGAATGCACATGAAAATAGATGATAAAATTCATTTGGAGAGACGCGAAACGAGATCCAAACAAAAATGAATCGATTGAGAAACAGGAACGAACTTGACGTGAAACAGAGATAAAAAAAAAACACACACGCAAAACGTATATAAACCGGTAGAATGGGCACAAAACGAAAGTCAATAGCGTTTTGCAAGGCATCGGTGTACACTGTTGAACACACAATGGATTCCATCGCAGAAGAGACACATCGAATATTACTTGGTCCATATGCAAACGATTTTGTTCAGCAAAACTTTTCGAACGTCATGTACATAGTGGATATTTGCCTGTCAAATGGCGATAGAATTGCGCACACCGATGATCGATCACTTTTCGAAAACTAATCGCCCAACGACGTCGATTAGACTGTCCGGCAACAATCAATATGAATTACTTTTATCAATTTATTTGTGTCTTGTATTCTTCTCCGGCTCCCGGAGCGGTTTCGAAAACGATTCCATGAAACTGTTTGACTGAATTTACAATACGAAGACAGCCTAGTTACAGACATACGCCGCATCATTTCCCATTAACAATTCGAATATACGGTCGGTTATTGGAATCGGTTTGCATCGGTCTGCGTTTTCTTCGCGTATTATATTTTCTTCATCTTATATTTATATCGGCCTCATTCGCGACACGCTGCTCAATGCTCGCACTTTGTGCGCGAGAGCCGTCACTGTTTCTCATTTCTAATTTATGCGAATCGATGTGCGCGCACCAACAGCGAGAGGAACAGAGAGATATTGTGAACCAATGTAGTAATATAGCCACTGCTCAGGTATGCATATTTAAAGCCTTTCTTTTATTTCTTTTCCTCTTCGCATCTTTCTATTCATCATTCCGTTTCATTTTATTTAATTTTTTTTCTGCTTCATTTTGATAATTCTTTTGCTTCTCTTCATGCATTTTTTTTCACTTTTTTTCTCTCTTACAATAAATTTGCGCACGCTGTTGCTGTGCGTTTATCGAGGTAATCACGATAAATGTGAATTTATTCATGTTTTTTTCTTCTCTTCTTCGTTCTGCAAATAAAATGCAATTTGTTATAGTTTCATCTCACTGAGCGCGCGCGCATAGTATACATGACATATGGGTTCGTTTTATTCATAGGGTCACCATGAATCGTAGGGCATGAAAAGAATCGTAACAATAATGAAATGTGGCAGTGCAACAGCCAAGTGCATCCACACAGTCTGTCTATTGTAAATGCAGAAATATACATTTCTAATCGAATGGATTTGATTAAATTTGAAATTGGATTCAACGGAATTCTCTATTTGGCCGCATCTGTGCTGTTCATATTGCATTCAATGCCAATTGTTAGTTTGCTGATAATAAGATGGTTCTCAATTTCATTCGGCAAAATTCATCACATTGCACATTCACACAATGCAACAAAACTACTTACTATTCGTATAATACATTTTTCACACGCACAGTGTGATCGAAACACCTGCTGGTGAATAAAGTTTTCTATCTAAGTACAGCCAAAGAAGTAACAGAGTCCAAGTCTTTTTGTGTATGAGTTTCTTTGGTGCGATACTCTGTTTCCATAAAGAAAGCACTTTTTTAGGACATCCGTACACAATATGTTATTCATGCAATCTAAAATAAACAGCATCCATTGTATGCGACGCATTTTAAATGAATGAAAAAGAAATTGAAACAGAGAAAGAAAAACAGAAAGAAAGAAGAAGAAAATGAAAAGAAAAACTACATCGTTTGCATCTTCATTGAGTTCATAAACTGATTTGCAGTATCATTACAAATCACACTGGAGATTATCAATTTGCAGCGAAATCCAACGAATTACATGCATGTAGAGCATATGCTTTGGGGGCATGCGACTGGCATTTCTCGAATTTGCTCGGTGCCAATACACACGCATGCAGACACAACGAACAACAAGATACACATAGCGAGAGAGAGAGAAAGAGAGAGAGAGAGATCTAGCTAAATAGTTTCCGCACGGGATGACGATGAGTATAACAGTTAAATAGCGTTCAGGTGAATTATTTATGCACATCGCACATTTACGTAGGTACATAAGAAGTTATTGCATCTGTAAATAATTCGAAAACTGGCATGCAAATGTTGGTACACATGAGCGGAAGAGAGATAGCGAGATAGAAGAGTAGAAAAATAAATACTCCGAATAACTGAATGGAAAATGCATTTGATGGAGCCTTTTGTGTGTGATGTAAACATACTGCTGGTTTTGGCTGACAATGACTGAATGTATCGATGATAGAAGAGAATGCCACGCCGACTGTGAAAAAAAACGGAAGAAAATTGTGTTTGATGGCTGCATTCGAAACAAGCTCCTTCGTCGAACACTCTCTCGATCGACATCTAGTGAAAGACAAATTTCCGATTTTTGCGTGATTATTTCGCATTCATGCGGCGACATCATCATACACACACACACACACACATACAGACACATAATATACTGAAATACCAGCCGATATCGACGACTGTCGTCGGGCTTATTTTAAATTCATTTAATCTACGCCATGATTTGCAACTATAATTTCCATCCATCCATTTATGGGACGTGGTGTTTTTGTTTGTGTACGTATGTTTGGTTCACTTTGGCTCGAACTCGGCCTGCGTATGCATGCGGATATGAATGTAAAACTGTGTATATACACAAACTATGGAACTTATAAACTCGGAACATTGAACAGTGTTCAACGCTCAACTATAACAATTACTTTGCCCTTGTTCGTTTGCTCGTTTCGCGTTCCTTCCGTCTCAATCTCGGTATGGCCACCACAACACACACACACACTTGCATCGATTGGGTTCATTGGTGTTGTCACTGCTGCTGCTGCTGTTCCTGCTCATATCGAAACGACTATGGCTATGTTAAGCCGCTCGAAATTGCTCACGACAAACGACCATTAACAGCACTACGCTGACGATAGGTTATTATTTGTTTGGTCGCCCATATTACGTTTATTCGGATGCAAATTCGATCTGTTTATCTTACACCTGATCAAACAACATTACAGACGTATTATTACGGTAATGTCTTATGATGACATTCATATTGCGCTTGTTACCTGCATGCAAATATGCACCCGTCATCATCGTCGTTTGCCAATATACTCAAAACACACATACATATGCATATGGTCGATGCACGTGAGCTTTATGCGCTTTCTCTCTCTCTCTCCCGCTCTCATTGTGTGTTGCTTTCTCTACCTCTTGCTCTATCACTCCCTGTGCTTTCTTTCTCTCTCGCTCTTGGTGCATTCAAAATGCGGAAGATCCAACGACAGCTAATAGGTACAGGCTTTCCATCCCAAAATTTTATTGCATTTAATCCCAATACAAAACACACAAATTACTCAAATTTCAGTGGAAATACTAATTATGCTAGCGAAGAAAGTGAATAGTTTCAATCATTATGCAGATTGTTCGATGATACTCTCTGTGTGCTTGAAATTGGGATCCAATCATTTGAGTTTTTTTTACACAAATGCCCTATTGAAATAGTAAACACAACACACACTCTTCTTATCGACTGGCACAATGTTTATCGCCAAGTATTCAGCCGGTCGTTGC